GTATACCTTTTGAGTAGATTTACTTGTAAATTGCGAAGTTTTTGTTATAATGAACTGAGGAATATTTCATGACGAACTGATTGTGATTAATTCTTTAAGGATTGTTCAGATATTCATTTGTCTAATTCTGTACGTATTATAAATTCTTCAGATATTTATTTGTGCAATTCTGCACATATTAAAAAATATGAATTTTCTATGAAGTTTTATTTATTTCTGTGCTATCTGGGAATGTATTCGAGAATTGTGCTTGTTTTCTCGTGCTTATTTTTATTTGCAAATTTTTTTAACGGATTTGTAATCGACATCTTTCTACGAAATGTTCAATCCCGTCATTTGCGATTACTATTTAATATTATATATTAGATCATTTAATTTTTAAAAGTGTCATGTGTTGATGTAAATGAAATTGCCGTTTTTTTCGTATTTTAAACTTCTCGTCTTTATTCGTCTTTCTTTTATGCAGATAGCATGTATACCAGTGAAAAGTACATGTTCCATACATGAATGTGTATACATAATTTTATTTATTTACTACGATATTAATGATTGAAATTCGCGTTTAAGTCAATATGGAAAGTGAAGAAATTCGTTTAATTTATTTGTACAGGTTTAAACTCGGCCATAGTGTGGCCGAGACAATGTGAAAAACTAATACTGCTTTCGGCAAAGGTTCCGCCATTGAAAGGACGACGAGGCGTTAGTTCGGAAAGTTTCGGTTTAGAGACACAAACTTCGACCTTTACCTCACGGACATACACCCTCCGTCATTGACGACGCCGTTTTAAAGAATATGATTGAAGCGGATCCGAGATTGACAGTTCGAGAGATTGCAGGAAAATTCAACATCCATCACTCAACTGTCATTCGACATTTAAAAGCCTTGGAAAAGGTGAAAAAGTTGGACAAATGGGTTCCCCATGAACTAACGTTGAACCATGAACATGAAGCAAAGAGGGATAAGATGAGACGTTTAGGGATCTGCGCTTCTTTGCTTTCTTGAGTAATGATGGTATATCGCACAGAATAGTGACAATGAAAAGTAGATGCTTTACGACAACCGTCGACATTCTGCGCAATAGTTAAATGCGAACGAGCCTCCGAAACACATGCCAAAACTGAACCTTCATCCGAAGAAGATTATAGTGTCTGTATGGTGGTCAAGTAGGGGCATCTTGCATTATTAGTTTATCGAACAAGGTGAAGTTACAAATGCTGATAAATACTACAAAGAAATTGACATTATGTACCAAAAACTACGCGCTCAACAGCCGGCATTGATCAATAGACACGGTGTGTTGTTGCTTCACGATAATGCCAGACCAACATATTGCGGAAAAAACCGTAAAAAAATTAGCCGAATTGAAATTCAAAGTTCTCCCTTAGCTTTTCTGTTTTCCAGACATGTCACCAACAGATTACCGTCTATTAAAGTATCTGGATGGGTATTTAGATGGGAAAATTTTCCAAGAAGAAAGACGTGAAAAAGATTCATTCCACAAATTCATTGTCTCTCGTTCTCTAGACTTTTTTAACAACGGTATTGATGCACTTGTATCACATTGGCAGAAGTGCATTGAATTAGATGGACTATTTTGATTAATAAAGCAAATTATAAATTTGTCAAATAAAAGTCTAAAGTTTAAATTCAAAAACGGCCATTTCATTTGCACCAACTTAATATTATATTGCTTCAGTGATATAAAACGAAGAAATATATAATTATATTACCAGGCTGGATTCGTCGGGAGAAGCTAAGCTTAACAGCAATACACTCACGTTCACAGTCAAGGTTCCTGAAACAGCAAGGAAATATGACTTTAGCTACTAAATCCCGAATCGTCCGATCGATCATGAAGTTGCAAAGTTACGATATTCTTTATATTTCTGAATTAACACATAGGATATATTTCCTACAGTTTCAACGATGATGTCTTCGACATTTCTAATAAATGTAGAAAAAGATACGACTGTACGTTACGGTAAACGTTCAAATATTTTACGATCAATTCGTGTTACATCGACGAAGGTGTTATCTTGACAAACGACTTGAATTTATCTGCCACATGTATTTGACAAGATTATAATATATTCTTCGTATTACAGAGAAAAATTGTCCGGAGCAAATTCGTCTCTCATAATATAATTCATACAACCGCTAATATCAGACATAGATCGATCGGTGTAGAATTTTTGCATCACACAGAAATCGCCTGATGCAATTTCCATGTGACCGTAAACATGAATAGTGCAATCTTCCACGAAATATAAGTATATATTATATCGTATTAGATATCTATATATGTTTTTTATAACAACATAAGCTGTTAAGGAATACGCCGAAAGCTTTCTTCGAGCCATGCTGTGCACATGCTGCTACTACTTGGAAAGAAGCTTGAGGTCGTGGTTAGGACTCGGATTGGCTTATGAACTTTATTCTAAAGTGGCTATTGTGGTGACATATCTCTTTCGTCAAAGGTATATAAAGTTTCCTGCCGATTTAAAATGCGTTTGCTCTCAAGGAAACGTCGCAAAGAGTGCTCTGTTCTCGCGTAATATAAAGAGATGATTAACAATGCCATCTAAATTACCAATCATCGCCATCATCTATAGAAACAAACACTTGCGAACATTGTATCTTACTAGAAAATACATGTATGTATATATCACTCACTACTAACAATGTTATTAAACTTACATAACAAAAGTGTCACGATACTACATTATTATACGACAAACGGTATAACGCTAGACAGACAGATCTCATTCGTCAGAGTAGAAAAGTAAACTACATATTTCATACTCTAAGGAAGAGAAAGAGAGCGGACTACTTATAGGACAGCGTGTTCTACTTGGAGACCATGGATTTGTCTCCAGATACATCTGTCCCTGAGTACGATCTTCACACAAATGTTCTTCATCTCCGCGATTTATCATATATGCAAGAAGGACTCGAGTCCCAACCAGCGATCCGATCATCGCCGCGTGTAAACGCAATTGAGATAGATCTGTTTACTGCGAAAAGTAGATAAAATGGGGTTGGATTGGAAGTGGAACACATGAACTTCTCAAAGTTTATTCCGGTAATTTGATTATAGCCTTCGAGTAGTGCTAGCCCTTGCAAAGGACAACTATATACCATTCATCAAACCAATTTCGATAACGCCGAATTTCTATGTACCGAAAAGATATTTTTCAAAGCAATTCACAATTCCGTTTTATATCGTCTCAATCACGATGCCTGCGTGTCGCACGTGGTACAATCACATTAATCACGGAATAAATGTAATGAACTTTAAAGAAAAACAAGAAAACCATTGATACGTGTTGCTGATCCATAAACGTGACGCCAGTCTTCGATAAAAATGTATCGCACGTGGCGAAGCTGACATTAATAAGTCGATGCAATCGAGCACGAAAGTCAAGCCACCTTGACTGAAATATAAATCCTGCGATTGGCGGACTAACTTTTATATCTCCGTAATACGATCGATTCTAACTCGTCGCACTTGTGGCTGATGAAAACGGACGGCATGTTGTATCGCGATAATAGCTTACTCATCGAACCCGATTTCCTCTCCCGATAAAAATAAATATCCGTTATCAAGTGACATCAGGACTCTCTCTATGGAAAAATTCATCTACATAGAAAATTAATTCGGAACGGTACAGGCTGATAAATATACAGCGCGAATATCTAAAGAGCTTGACCAGGCGTTATTGGAATAATTTAGCATCGTTATTCGTCTAAATAATCATAGAAATATTAATATTGCCTGAATATAATATTTAGTTCGTGGCGCGATTAAAATGTGTCCAGAATTGTATAAGCTGCCGAGGAGGAGCCTTCTGTATTCTTCGAAACGGAAGCGAAGGGAAGCTTTCGTTCGGTTATATTCCAGCGACGTAAAGGAAGATATGTGTGAATAAAGTTTTGTGAGTAATGTCTGAGTGCTAAGATTGACCGAGATCGGCACATCGAAGTAAAGTCAGGAGATGTAATAAGTGAGAAACGATATGTAATGGTTGCAGGTGAGGAAAGGTCCGCTGCCACAACTAAACATACACATCACAAGTCACAGTCCCACAGACACGAGCTCGTAGTACGAATCATGGTTGTATCTCTCTTTTCTTACTGTCAAACATAGTACAATTAAACATCGAATTTACATCATCATTCCTTAGTTGTTCAACAGTGTTGAACAGGCATCGATAATGCCTTAATCATCTGTTTTATTGTGCATGTATGTATGTATAAGTGTACGGATATATGTGCGAGATTGCTAAGTGCTAAAATTGTACGACGAAGGTTTAGGTCGATAATATCGATTGCCGATGTGAATAATGTATTCAGCAATAATTACACATTGATACTTGAACATTCCTGCGCGACTATCTTCTCAATTTTAAACTAACTTTTAACCTTTTACTAATCATAGAAATTGAATAAATAATCAACTACGCGCATATATCTGCGTACATATATATATATATATATATATATATATATATATATATATATATACATATTTGTGTGTGTATGTGTAAATTTATAAATGCACTTTTTTAATTCTAGTTTATTTTTCTCTAAGATAAAATAAATTGTAATACAGTTTATCGCAATAAAATTAAATCAATTCTCATATATATTAAATGAACGATACGCGTGTATGTATGCCGACCTTAAACCCTCGCATGGAAGATCGACACACGTCCCATTCAGTACTTAACTCGACCAACTGCTGCATCGGCTGTTGATCAATAGTCATCTGCAAATAGCTATACTATATAGCTATGATTACGGTATTTCTCAAAGTGTTCCAAATATTTTCTCTTAACAGACGACTCTTTTGTTTTAGAACTTATCGTCTATTATAACGCATAAAGGTAGTTTAGTCATTTCAAGTTAAATCAAATGAAGAGTCTAACGATTTAAAAATAGTAGTAAATTAAAGTACAAATTTCCTTAAGTTGTTTCTCTCCGAGATTTTTAATTCTTTTAATCTTCAGACTGTTAATGAAATTAAATTATTAAGCGTACAAGTAAGGTGCCTTTTTTTATACGAATTTGACATTTATTTACAAAAAGACGAATTATTAGATATACAATTTAATTCTCGGCCTTTTTAAAAAAATATGTTGTTTATTTACAAAAAACAAATAATCTTTCAATCTTCAAAATAGTCTCCGTTACTTTCTATACACACTTCTATAATTTTTCGGATAACTGACAAAATCCGCTTCGGAAGAAGGATGATGATTTCGAATTGATAAATTCGTTGATGCTTTTGTCGACCTCCTCGAGAGACTTGAAGTGGGAATCAGCCAGGTGTTGTATTCAAGGATCGGAAAAAAATGGTAATCCGAAAGGGCAAGGTCTAAAGAATACGCCACATAAGGGAGAATTTCCCAGCCCATGTCGGAAATGACTTCCAAGGTTGTTTTCGCCGTATGCGGTCGCGAATTGTCGAACAGCAAAATCACCTTCCTTCTTTCAGCGCCGGTAAAAGATGTTTTTTTCATCAAATGCGTCACTCAATCTAATCCATTGCTGCTGGTAACGCTCAGAATTGACAGTTTCACCAGTTTGAGCGACTCATGGTAAATAACACCCTTCTGGTTCCACCAAATACACAGCAATACTTTTTTTGCGTGGATATATGGTTTTGCAGTGCTGCTCACCCGGATAAATCCTCGATTTTCGCATTTTAGGATTGTTATAGAGTACCCATTTTTCATCATTTATGCAAAAAGTCTCTCTTCTTGAATCTTGATAGCAGGACGTAGTCATGTTGAGGCGTCTCTCTTTGTTTTCAAGGCTGAACATATGCGGAACCCAACGATCCACCTTTTGAACCCTATCAAACTTATGTAGACGTTTCGAATTAGCTTATTGGGTCACTGTGCACTGCACGTACATTTGCAAGCTCTGATTGAGTTTCACAAATATTTTTTTCCAAAAGTTGTTCCAATTTTTTGTTTTCACCTTTCTTTGGTTATTCAGAGCGTTCTTTATTTTGAAGATTAAAATTGCCTTCGCGAAATTTTTAAAACCACTTTTTACACGTGCTATAAGACAGAGCATTTTCATTCAAGGCTGAGTAAATCATTTCCTTAGTCTCAACGGTATTTTTCTTCAATTGGAATACGAAAAAGAGGCAATGCCTCAGATGCTGCTTTTCGAACGACATCGCTTTCGTTATTGTTTGTTGAGATTATATCAGCAGCACCGTTAACTGTTAGATCTCGTTTTAAAACTGAAGGATGGAGCTTTAAAACGACTATACGGCGGGAAAAAATTTAAATTTGATTAGGTGCTGTAGTTAATTAAATATGGTGGCCGAAAATTAAGTTGTACACTTAATACGTGTCAATCCTGGAAATAGTCTCCATTATTTGCAACATACTTCTGCCATCTTTCAGGCAACTGGCAAATCCCCTGTCGAAAAAAAGATGGCTGTTTTGAGTCAATAAAGTCATTAACGCTTTCTTCGACCTCCTCGAAAGATTTGAAGTAGGAATCAACCAGATATCGCAATGACCGGAACAGATGATAATCTGACTGGGTAAAGTCTGGGGAATAAGTCACATGAGGAAGAATTTTCCAGTTAGTGCCCAAGTTAGAGATGATTTATAGAATTGTTTTCGCCGTACGTAGCCGCGTGTTTTTGTGCAGCAGAATCATCTATCTAGTTCCATTATCGGTAAAAGGTCTTTTTTGCTCAAGTGCGTCACTCAATTTAATCACCCAAAGCGGGACAAATCATTTCGATAGCCTGAGCAGCATTTTTATTCAACTGGAACGCAAAAAGAATGCAGTGCCTCAGATGCTCCTTTTCGGACATTATTATAACGACTGTTTTTTGGGGTTATGTCGGCAAGACCGTCAACTATTATAGTGTTTCTTAAAACTTAAGGTTGGTGTTTTCAAACCATTATAGTACGGGAAAGAAATTTTAATTTGAACCGGAATTATAAGATGTTAAAAATAAAGGCACCGAACTTATTTGTACACCTAATATATTCACAACCAATAGAGAAATACATCCTAACGCATTAGTATTTCTTCCAGAGACATTCTTCGGTATCTTAAGGGAACGGATATTTTTCGTAATTTATTCAAACAGATAAAATAACTTATTTATCCGCAATTTTATTCGAGAAAAATTTAGATATAAAGTCGAATGAAGGAAGTAAGCCGAATAGATTGAGTAGGTACTGAATAAGCTGAATAGACCAATTCTAGTTGATCAAAATACCACGATATAATAGTGTATTATCTTCTATATATATGACATTACGTAGTAACAAGAAGTAAAATCTAAAGGACGGACCGCGAAGGTGAGTGCGAAGGTATTGGTGCGGCGTGTAGTGGTTATTGTTCTTGTTCTTGGGGTCGTTAAAGAAGGTCGATGACCGGTTTGTCAAGCCGGTGTTGTCACCAGGCCATCTCATTCCGCAGCAGAAATCAGCATCTGTAACACCCAATAGCCTTTGCCTACGTCTTATTCTTATTTTGTTCATTCTTTCATTTATTTCATTTAAAAATGTATGACTTCGGAAAGAACTGCTTAACCGTCGACTCTCTAAATTTCTCATTCGAAATTTGTCTTCTTCGCTTTTTATCGGGTAATTGCAAAAGTTCGTACCCGATAGATGTCATTCCAATAGATGTCATTGGGAGAGTTGTATGATAGCGCCACTGATTGTTATATATGCATATTGCACATCTATGGAAAAGTGAATATTCAATGGTCATTTGAGCGAAAGACTTGTGTTTTGATTGAATTTACGTTGTGAAAAAAATTTTGAAAATAAGCGAAGAAAAGTTGCATTTACAGCATGTTATACATTATTGGAAGGTCATAACAGTTGGAACTGCCGTAAAAGATATTCAAGATGTTAATCAAGATCGTGGATCAGGGCCAACAATTTGAGCTGTTAAGGAATAGTTTGTGAAATTTAGACGTGATAATTTCCATCTTGACGACTAGCCACGCCGACCCTCTGGCATAGATAATGACATTGTGCACAATTTAGTGGAAAATAATTCACGAATTTCAAAGAAGGATTGCTGAGAGATTCAACATTGACAGATTGACCGCATTTCGACATTTAATAAAGATTGGATACACTTTAAAATTCAATATGCGGACACCACTCACCGAAATGAACGAATCGAGTTTTTGCAACTGTTACTTTGCTTGGCCGACTAACTAAAGAGTCGTTCTTAAATCAACTAGTGACCGACGATGAAAAATGGATTTTGTACAACAATATTCAACGCAAACACACTTGGAAACTAGCAGATGAACGCGCAGAATCCATACGGCAAAAGCCAACTTGCATCTTGAGAAGGTGAGGCTTTCTGTTTGGTGGAATTGCAAAGGAATAATTTATTTTGAGCTATTCCCCGTTGGCCAAACGATTAATTCTGACAAGTATTGTCAGCAATTAAACAATTTAAAGATAGCGATATAGAAGAAACGTCCCATTCTGGCCAACCGTAAGGAAGTCGTTTTTCATTACAACCACACACTGCAAAACAGACCTTACGCAAACTAAAGGAACTGAAATAGAATATCATACCACGCCCATCGTATTCTCCTGATATCGTGCCATCAGATTATCACTTATTATGACCATTGCAAAATTATTTAAATGGGAAAAATTTGATATTTTTGGAAGCCGCTAACAACCATTTTTCTTCCTTCTTCAGCGCAAAACTAAAGTTGTTTTATAATCGAGGTATCCCTATGCTACCAGAACGTTGGGGAAAGATTGTAAAAACGACACCGATTACATCATTGATTAATAAAAAAAATTTTATATACCAAATTACTGCTTGAATTTTAATGATAAATCGGGTATAAACTTTTGCACTCACCCAATATTATATTTTGCTTATGATTGAATCTCGATCTACATAGCTTATATTTTTAAATATCACTATAAAGCAAGAAAAAATTGAGATTTGTCGCAACTTCTCACGTAGAAGAAAATTAGCACGTGTATGTAATAAAAGTAAGTTACATATATTTCTTTCCATTCGAGCCTTTGCTATTGTAATACTCTTAATAAATGTACCATATATTGTGATTCGTTTAATAGGTATGTGTGTATATGATTATATGATATTCTGTTTGTGAGAAATTGTGTTTTTAGAAGAGTAATAAAAATTGTAAGTCTTTCAGTGTGTGTGTTTTTTTTACACCAAACAATCTTTGCCCACGTTATGTTTTTTTCCTAAATCCGACTTCCATTAATTTCACAATCAATTATTGAGATTGTATTATTTAAATTTTTATCGTTATCAGCCAATAAAATAAACAGAATCTTTGTTATATTTCTGAATTATATATAATACCGGGTAGCTGATCGAGGATATTACGCGAAAAAATCGGTAATCTGTTATCGCGCACAATTCTTGAAGCTGATGGAATATGAATGCAATCTTCGTACAGTTCGAGTGCGCTCTGTTTTTTGGGTACCTAACTTTTTCCTAGAGAAGGACAATCTGACTCATGTATTTGGAATGCAATTTTTCTTTCACCGCGTTAAATTTTGATTGTCTATTCATATGATATATTACTCCGATGTGAATTTTGCGATAAAATTTTCGTATCCTCGTAGAAATTAAGCGCATGTAACGTCAATAATTGTTGAAATAATTGTTGAAATGATTTCGTTTTCAGAAGAATAGGAACGATACAAAGGTTTGTGCGAAACACTGAAATTAAAAAAAGGAACGTGCATATGCACGCGTGCACGCACACACATACGCACGCACGCACACAGAGACTCTCTCTCTCTCTCTCTCTCTCTCTCTCTCTCTCTCTCTAACAACATTGGGTTTAAAAGTGTTATTCCGAGTATCTTGTTCTATATGTGAGTACCTAAAATTATTTTCTATGTGTAACGACAAGAAATTTATTGCCGATCTCGTTAACTCTTCTAAGTGTTGAAATTAAAAACTGATTAATGAATAAATAGATTACTAGAATCTGGCTTCGTGGGTTATAACGTGTAACGACAATGGTGATTTGAATGCACGTGTCATTTCTCAGCACATGTCAATAACTAGTTGTGTTGGCATCTTTTCCACTGCAACACAGTCGTTATTACCAGCTACGTCTGTGATAGTCGGACGTGGAGCCGTTAATAATTTGAGCATTCCGCGTTCCTATAATATATTATAAATATTACCGTCTGGCATATTTCCACCTCTGATCGAATTGCCATCGCTATTCTGTCCAACCACATTAACGTGGTGTACATCGAGAAAATGTCTTTATTTTTTCAATGAATTAACCAAATAAATGCGCTGTAATAAAATTTACAATAAGATGCGCAGTGATAAAATTTCTCAAGATTCACAAGTCAGATTTGCGACGGATGATAGGAGAATGTTAAATTACGGAGCATCGCGCCATAATTTTTCGGATACTCCGAAAAATAGAAAATCTCATATCGAACGTCTTTTTAGTAGTAACTTAAAAAAAAATAATTTTCTCACGAAGTACACGAGAGAGAGATTCGCATAACGGAAAACGCTGAATGGACTGAGATAATGGATATCCGTTATCAGTGCCTTTGTTTTTTTCCAGGACGAATAAAGACACGCGAATTTTACTTTAAGGTCGAGCCGACTTGAAAATTGACGAGGGATTCGGCAGATGAAAGGGACTTGGACTATAATTCTATCCGCGAACGCGCGGCTTGGACGGACGCAAATGTTCGCTCGAATACACCTCCTCTCGCTCGAATCGCGCCTTATTCTCTTGATCGCGCATCTTATCGCCTTCCTATGTGTATATCCCTCTCATTCACCTTTTTCCTCTCATGTTTCCGAACACAAGTCGATTTATAGAGAGTACCCTTACGACGAGGGGTGAGCAGTGAGCTGTGGTTGTGTGGTGCTGTGTGGTGGTAGCGGTGCCGGTGATGTTCGAGGTGCTCTGGATCGGGGTCTTTAGGTACGAGGTCAAGGGTGTCGTCTTGACGAGTGTGGGGTGGGGGCCTCAGTGTACCTTGGACCGGGGGCAGAAGCCGCTTGTCGTAACGCGTCGACAGCAGCAGGTTGTCCAAGATCTCCTTGTCCGACTTGCCCTCTTCGAAGCTGCAACACAACGCACTGTTGGCGCATTCGGAAGGAACCTGGCGAGTTACGCGCCGTGGCAATGGCGCGTTCTCCGCGAGAGCTCCCTGCTGGTGGCCTTCTGTATCTACATACCTCGAAAATTGTCTCGCTCGGCGAAGAAAGAAGGGTGTTGAAATATAATCAAGGTTTGTGGTAAATTCATATATAATAAATTGGATGTCCGATAAGTTTTGACGAAGCGGCCGTATGCAGGTAGAACGAGTTAAACTGACGAGGAGACCACATGAAGTTGGAAACTCAGATGTGAGCCAAATTTTAATATTAATAGTTTATAGGGAGGGATTCCCTAAATACGAACATAGAATATTAGGTGTAGATGGCCAGCCATTCAATTTATTATTAACGAAAAATACTTCAGGATATGCACAGAACGGTATAATATTTCTACTAAAGAGAAATTGCGACTAGTAATATCAAAACCAACAGAACATTAACAAAAGACGAGAAAAATTTATTCCAGCATTCAGTTAAAAAAAAATGCTTGTAAATACCATATGTGTGATGTTTTGATTATAAGCTGTTTTATATATCTGACTAACATGATACAAGCAAGCTACGTTATAAAGAAGAATATTATTAATTACAATGAGATATAAACTTTGTGATTTCCGAACAGTGTGATTTCTAGACCCGATCTCTCCTATATCTTTCTTTCCAATCAAATTATTAATTTTACGTTGTATGAAAAATCAATAAAAATTTTGATTATATATAAATTATTTTGTTCTTCTATTGCTTTTCTCCCTTACAAAATAATTCAGGAATTACAATTTTTTACTAAAAAAAGAAAAAATAACGTTTGAAAAAAAATTCTAACAACAGGAATTAAACCCGGACTTACATCTCAGCAATCAGACATCTTACCACGCACCGCTTTGAACTTCGGCTATACTACATCGGTCTATGCATACGCTGAAATCATTTCTAATTAATAACTTTTAAATGGTTGGCCATCTATATATAATATTCTATGTTGTACTTAGAGAGCTTTCTCCTATAAGTTATTAAAGTTTAGTTTACATCTAAGTTTTCAACTTCGTATAATCTCCTTACAAGTAGAAAAATCATGCACCATTTTATCAAATTCACAGTAGTTAATGAGCAATTAATTATTCAGTAAAAATTAATCAGCGTATGGGAAACGGTAGGCCGAACTCTTTATAGAGAAAAGTGGCTCATTTCTGAAGATCTCCTAGCAATGATTGATATCAATTGATAGCGAGAGGCGCGATACTCGTTCGCTGCGTTACGTCGCCTCTAGAAATCAATTAATGCTTATCTTTGCTAGGAGACCTTCAGAAGTAAGTCACTTTTCTTTATGTAGAGTCCGGCCTCTTCTTCCAGTGCGTTATATATATATATATATATATAGTGTGAACCACGCAACGTAATCAGCTTAGTTTATTCTGCTGTTAATGGACCGCTTGAAAATTTTTTGTCTAGTATAACATAGTTCAAGGTGAGCTTTAAGATCATCTACTAACAACAGAATAAACTAAGCTGATCACCTTGCGTGGTTCATCCTATATATATATATATAAGGGTGATTCATTCTAATTTTAACAGGTAGATATTTCAAAAAATATGGAAGATACGGAAAAATGTTTCAGATAAAAGTTGTAGGGTTTGAAGACATAAGACGATGACCTTTCTTGTACAGTCAATAATTTAAGGTCATTTCAAGATCAACTTCATTTTTCAAATAGAATCATATAATTTTTTTAATACAAATCGTTTCTTCTGTTCATTGTACGTATAAAAATACTAGGGCAAGGGCATTTAAACACGAATATTTTCGAGTTATTTTACTTTTATTCTACTATTTTTTTGTACAAGATATCAAATATTTCATAAAATATTCTTTCTTCGATATCATAATTTTAATACTTTTGTGTGTAGAAGTGGAATCGATCGTTATAAGTAGACGTAGAGAAGTCTTTAAAAAATTGATATTTTGCAAATGCATCGGAGCACTAATGGGCAATGATTAATATCAGCAATCAATTTCTCTCATATTATATAAAAAAGTGTTAAGATGATGTTATTAAAAAGTGAATATTTTTTGAGATATTTCATACCTCTCGTATTAAAAAAATATCAGAATAAAAAGTAAAGTAATTCAAAAAGTATTCGTATTTAGATGAACTTGCTCTAGTACTTTTATACATATAGTAAACAGAAAAATCGATTTGTGTTAAAAAATTATCTGATTTTATTTAAGAAATGAGATTGACCTTGAAATGATCTTGAATTATTAACTGTAAAACGAAGTTAAGGTCATCGTTTTATGTCCCCCACCAAATTCTACAACTTTTATCTGAAACATTTGCTCATATCTTCCATATTTTTTGAAATATTAGCCTGACCAAGATTAAAATAAATCACTCTGTATAAATATATATATACAGTCCCACATTATTTTTGACAGTCAAATATCTTAAAATATGGAAGGTGCGGAAAAATGTTTCAGACAAAAATTATACGGTCTCAAGGAGGATAAATAATGATAAAATTAATTTAAATAAACAATTTTTCAAAATCATATGAAAGTTATCGCCATTCTTTTAAATGGTATGTGGTATTTTTTCTTAAAAAATTTTAAAGAGCATTTAATTTTACATAAAAAAGTGTTAGGATACTTTTGGCTTAAACTTATTATGTAAGGAGATATTTCATAGAAAAAATAAACAAAAAACCTGTGTTGAACAGTGTATGTGTACGTAATATCCTTCTTAGCTAAATCTAGGACCAGACGGACAAAGACGTAGGGGAACAACCATTTTACGCGCACGCGCTCGACAGTGAGACAGCCACGCCTGACGCATGATAACTCGGCGATCAGGGAGCTTCGCTGCGGCGAGACCGATCCGCACCACTTCGCATTATCTGTGTGTTTCTCGTAGAATCACGTATCGACGTGCCGCTAATTCAAAATTAAGCAATTCAAGATTACGCGATTACTATTGTCGATTGACAATAATTCATGTTAAATAACATTCGACCATTACTAAATTAAGTCGATACTTCCGATTTTCTTTAGTATATAACACTTCTTACATAACAGATGACATCAAAGGAGGGTACAATTTTTCATTATAATTTTTAATTTGCTCCCAATTACCAATATAATATATATTCGATATATATCGAATCTAGAAGTACAAAATATAAAATACAAAATGATTCGTAAAGAGAATTAGTTTGAAAACACTAATTGATGTATTATCGTAGTTTCAAGTTTTCATATTTCTCAAAAGATTATTAATTATTTTTTATAACAAATATTGTAATAATGAAAGATATAATCTAATTAACGTTTTACGATGCAACACTGGTCCAACTTTGAATTAATTTTTAAATTATGGAAGAATTAACAGCTATTTCATAAAGATGTGAATTATGATTTTATTCGCTTTATTTAAATGTACAAATTTTTCCTGAAGTATGATATTGTTATAATGATAATTTCCGGTTTCTACGAAGCCAAATATAAGAAAATGTAGAAATAAAACGATCCCCAAGCGATAACGAAACACGTGAAAAATTCAATCCTCCTTTTGTGGAGCTATATAGTTTTCATAAAAATATAGTTTATCAAAATCCGCCAACGACTAAGGATAATATAAAAAGAAGAATAAGAGATGCTTGCCGTGATGTTCTAAGCAATGATTTATTGTCGTTGGAAGGACATGTCCGTCGGAGAAATAGATTATGTTATGAGGTTAACGGTGCCAATATTGAACAACTATTAAACTAAGATTTTACAAACATCAAAGACGTTGATTTGGCGTCTGAAAATACTGTGGATGTGACGAACCACAGGGTCATAATCTCTGGGTGCGCGCGCAAGACGGTTGTTACCCTACGTCTTCGTCCTTCGTCCTAGATTTAGCTCAGAAGGGAACTACGCATGTAAATACACTGTTCAATACAGGTTTTTTATATTTTTTTTCATGAAATATTTCTTTACATAATGAGTTTAGGTCAAAGGTATCCTAACACCTTTTTATATCAAATTAAATATTCTTTCAATTTTTTTAAATAAAAAATATCACATTTTATTTAAAAAAGTGGCGATAACCTTCATATGACTTTGAAATTTGTTTTTAAATTAACATTATTATTTATCCCTCTTGTGACCGTATAACTTTTGTCTGAAACATTTTTCCGTATCTCCCATATTTCTTAAGATATTGGACTGTCAAAAATAAAATAGGACATTCTGTACGTACAAAGTGACCGACATGGTGTGCCTACCACATCGAGAGCGCAGATCCGCCTATCTATTTTCATTAATAACTCGAAATTTTGCATGGTAATTTACAAAATGATATTAGTCATATTTCTCAGTTTGATGTATTGTATACGTTGAATACGCTGTATATGTTTAGTATGGTTTGACAAGGCTTACGTCGGATACATAGAGGAATCTGGAGATACCTAATACTTTGGGAGACTTAATTCATAACCATTATTTCGACAATAGAAAGATTTAATTTTTTTTATATTGGCAGTAGTGTTCATTTTTAACTAAAGGAAACGTTAAATATTTTTTTGACAATTGAGTGTCGATAACAACAGGATAAGGATTTTTTTTTTAGTGTGTCTAATTCTTTTTTTCGTAAACATTCAATTGTTTTTTAAATTGTTTGATTTTATAATTAGATTAAAACTCTACAATGGGATGAAAAGTTAGTTGCTTTAAGAAATTAATTACAAGGTTAGTCAGCAAAAATCTATTTCTTTCCACAAATAAATAAGTTTAAAAAATAAGTGAAAAAAGTACTAATTGAGTAAACATGATCCACGCCAGATTGGAAACACTAGATCCAAAGATCAAGAGTTTCCTTTATCTTAGTAACGTAATTCATTAGCCCAATATTGGTTACTTTGGCATTCATTGAGCAAATATTGCCTAAAATAAAATCACCCAGACACCCTATATCTACAGAAGTAGA